TCCTCTGCTTTGGCTGTGTGATTCTGACCACATCATACTTAACCCATCTGTGATGGATTCATTGACTGACATTCTTCATTGACTCCTTGCACTTGACACTTTCCTGTCTGTCCGCCGACCAGTAAAATGAAAAAGAAAACAATACAGTTTTCTTATTCTTTCTGTTTCTTTGGCTAGAAGAGGAAAATAGAAGAGGTCTTCTCAGTTGGGTGGGGCAGGGAGAAAGAGAGGTCCACTGCCACTGAAGCTGTAATTTTAAAAATATATGAAAACACAGAGCCCAGTTCTATCAAAGTTGAAAAAGGAAACTGACAGAAGTTTTGTTAATTTCTTTGTTTAAAAAAATGTCATTGTTTTTTTAAAAAATGTCATTAATTCACCATTCCACTGGTGGACCTGCATTTTGATCCAGTGTTTCACTGATCCATGTGAAATGAAAGAAAGGAAAGTTACTAGATAAGGTCCATCAGAAGAAGCTAGGCAGTCCAACAACCCAGAACAAGCTGAAGAGGATGGAGTGTTTCTACCACAACACACCATAACCAATTGGAGTGGAAGTTAAGCAAAGTGATGCAGACAATCAGTTTACTGTTAATGCTAACGCAAATGAGAAAACACTACTTTTGATGCAGTAGAGGGTAAGATGCATAGAATTGCCTTGTTGGGGGTAGAGTGGTGGCTGTTTAGAGGATGACATTGTACATCCCTGTCCTTAAGAAATAATTAGTGTCTCATACTCATATTGGACAACCTGGTTATGCAAAGCAACTCTCTAGAGCAGTGTTCATCAGCCTTGGCAACTTGAAGTTGTTGCCACAATATCAATGCTGTATGAATATAGGTTGATTTAACTACATTGATGCTTTCTTTTGGGTACAGTAGGGTGAAATTCTTCACTCTTTCTCCAAAAGAATGAATGCTCTCTTCCCAATTCTGTCTCGCTGGTTTTGGAAATTTCAGAGCACTCTGTTTTAGCCCTTTGAGAATATCATTCTGACATATTTACACTGAAGCTGAAAATACAATATACTCAGTATATCAATGTTCAGAGAAAAACAGAATCATCTGCTTTGGGGGGAAAAAACTAATAAAAGTTTCAGACCTAGAATTTTATCTCTAAATGTTGCAAATGGATATGTTTGGTCTTCTTGCTTCTCCAAAAGGATTTCACATTAGAAATCAATCAATGTACATTTGAAAATAAAATGCCACATGTCTGCTACAGGGAGGAATTGAAATGATGCTCAAGATAATATGTCAACTATATTGGAAAAGCAGCCTTCATTTTGAGTAGACTTATGAATTATCAGTTTACTTGATTACGTGCCTTTTCAATTTTCTGATAATTGTCTGCCAACTGATGTTGTTGCAGGGGGGGTTATATGTGTGCGTGGTTGTGCATGTTTTTGGTTAGCTCCTGACAATTGCCTGTACAAGTCTTTGAAATTTTCTTGGTGAGGTATTTTTTTTTCTTTTTTTTCTTTAATTTTTTTTTCTTTTTTCCAACATAAACATAAAAAAGAAAAATTTTCTCAAGAACGAAGTCTTGGTCCGGTCACAAATGGTTATACTAGTTCAACAAATAAAAACAAATAATTTTAACCTAAATTCCAGCATCTTAATTTAAATCTTTCTATTTTCTATTTTTTTTTTCTTTTGAAGTGGTTTGCCATTGTCTGTTTCTAGAGCAGAGGTCACCAACCAGTGGCCCATGGACCACTGGTTATCCGTGAGAAAATGTTGGTGGTCCGTAGCGCACCTGGGAGGAGGAACTGCTCTGGGATGGCCAATGGGCCAGTCCTGTGACTAGAGCTCTGGAATATGGGACCGGCCAGGCAGTTTGTGGTGGGGCTGGAAATCTCTGCCGTAGAGGGAGATACGTGCAACTTGCAACTTTGCAGGTGGTGAACGTGCAAGGAATAGGGCATCCCTCGCTGACCGGAACAAGGTAGTCGTGCTGTTGCAGCAAGGGGGCTAGCGGTGCAGCTGGGCCAAAGCAACGGGTGTCAGCAACCCATGGCTCTTTCATCTCTGTGGCTTCCTGTTGGATGATCCCACCACTGGCTGTGCCCGCCACTCACCCTGCCAGTCATTCCTTACCTGGCCTGGAGATTTGCTACATTTTCCAGAGCGGGAGCTAAGCTTCATCTCTTGCTGGGTCTTGCAGGCATTTCTTCTGGCCCTTATTGATGCTGCGCGCACCTCGGTCACACCAGAGAATCAGAATGAGAAAGCGAGAGAGAGAGAGAGAGGGAAAGAGAGAGAAGAGAGAGGGGAGAGAGAGGAGAGAGGAGAGAGAGAGGAGAGAGAAGGGAGAGAGAAGAGAGAGAAGAGATGAGAGAGAGAGAAGAGACGGAGGAGAGAGGAGAGATGAGAGAGAGAGAAGGGAGAGGGGAGAGAGAGAAGAGAGAGATAGATGAGAGAGAGAGTGGAGAGAGAGATAACAAGAGAGTGGAGAGAGAGAAGAGATGAGAAAGACAGATATGAGAGATCTGTGGGAAATGGGTCCAAATGGCTCTTTGAGTGTCTAAGGTTGCAGAAAGAGGCGGCCAAGCTAAGTGCCTAAAGGACCCTATCCCGTCACTGGGAGTCCAGGTGCTTCAGCGAGCGGCACGCTGGATTCATATTAGTGGTCTGCAGGATTTAAAATTATGAATTTAGTGGTCCCTGAGGTCCGAAAGGTTGGTGACCCCTGTCCTAGAGAGTGACTGGCCAAGATCACCCAGCTGGCTTTGTGCTTAAGCAAGACTAGAACTCATTGTCCCCTGATTTCTAGCTTGGTGCTTTAACCGCTACACCAAATTTTTGTTTTATTTGGCCCACCCTTTTGTGAAGGGACCACCATTTTCCCATTAAAAATGGAACTCCTTTGAAAAATTTCACAAACCTGTAGCCATAATTAGTACTTATGACCTACTATAGGTAAACAAGGAATAAAATGAAGAATTCCAATTATTCATACATACTTGTGTTTTGATGAAAGTCTAAATTTCATGGCCTTGACTTTAGCACCTCATTACTTTCTGATCACAAGGGGAACAGAGAGTCTAGATAAAGAGTAAGGGAATTACTTTGTTGCTTTCTCTCTACTACCCTGCCTGCTCTTTATATAAAAGATATATGCTGCCCAGGGTCGCTTGTTGAGATGAGTAGCTACAGGAATCCAATAAGTAAATTTATAAGTAATCTGTCATCACTTCCACCTGCACAGAGAACATGCTTTCGGATTCTTCTGGCAGAATGCACTTAAGTAGACAATAGGTTTTGGTTATTAGCTTATTTATATAATAGCCAATTAACTTCCTGTAATACACTTCCTGTCCAAAACCTACTTCACTAATCCTTGTTCAGATTCATGCTTTCAATAGCACTTCCTCAAATGTACGCAATGCTTCAACCTGCAATACATTTCTCAACCACTTGCCATCCAGATCTCTTAGGCTAATTCTAATTAGTCTCATTCCAGATAGCACTGCCATTTTTCTCATATTTATTGGGGATTATGGAAATTGCATTCAAAGACATTTGGAAGGCACCAAGGTCAGAAGATTTCTATGTATGACTTCATTTCACAAACCAAGTATTAGAAGCTATGTCATACAGTGTCAAGCCTGATATCTTCAGTTGTTTTAGACACACATATCTCAAGCTCTTAGATAAACCACTGGCCAAGATGGTTTGAAAGTTTGAAAGTTTATTAGATTTCTATACCGCCCTTCTCCCGAAGGACTCAGGGCGGTGTACAGCCACATTAAAAACACATAGATTTATAAAATTTAAAACCAATTAAAATTGAATATATAAAATTGGCCCTCAATTTAAAAACACACATACACCCATTTAAAATTCATATTAGGCCAGTCCGGCTTGCTGGAACAGAAGGGTCTTAAGGGCGCGGCGAAAAGTACGTAGATCAGGGCTAAGACAAAGCTCTAGGGGCAGCTCATTCCAGAGGGCTGGTGCCCCCACAGAGAAGGCTCTCCCCCTGGGTATCGCTAGTCGGCATTGTTTGGCTGACGGCACCTGAGGAACCCCTCTCTGTGGGAGCGTATCGGACGGTGGGAGGTTGTTGATGGCAGAAGGCGGTCTCATATATATCCCGGTCCTAAGCCATAGAGCGCTTTAAAGGTGGTGACCAACACCTTGAATCGCACCCGGAATACCACCGGGAGCCAGTGCAGCTCGCGCAGGAGGAATGTTATGTGGGTGCGCCGAGTCGCACCCATAACCACCCGCGCGGCCGCATTCTGGACCAGTTGGAGCCGAGTGCTCTTCAAGGGGAGCCCCATGTAGAGAATGTTGCAGTAGTCCAGACGGGACGTGACAAGGATATGAGTGACCGTGCGCAGGGCATCCCGGTCCAGAAAGAGACGCAACTGGTGCATCAGGCGAACCCGATAGGAAGCTTCCCTGGCCACGGCCATCATGTGATCTTCCAAAGACAGCCGTGCATCCAGGAGAACACCCAAGTTGCGAGCCCTCTCTGAGGGGGCCAGGATCTCGCCCCCAATAGTCAGCGATGGAACCAGTTGACTATACCGGGATGCCGGAAGCCACAGCCACTCGGTCTTGGAGGGGTTGAGTTTGAGCCTGTTTCTCCCCTGGTTAGTTGCTTGCTAGAATTTTAAGCACAGCAGCTTCTTTCGCAGCCCCTTTGAAGGTATTATTGATTAGCATCTAAAACCACTTGCAGGCAAAGGCTATGCTTTACCACACATACTACATTTTTATTCCAAAACAAAGCTAATAGTGCTTGATTTATAGCACTGATCAGTACTGCAGCACTAGATAAATTGTACTCCAAAACAAGCATTTAAAAAATCTGATTATAAATATAACACAGAAGTCACCAATTAGCTGATGTTTAAACATTCTTTATTACAATATTTTCAGCAACAAGGCTGGAGGGGCAAAGTACTTTTGATCATATATTGTTTTGTTTTCAAAATAGAAAGACTCAAAAGCAGATTCTGCTATTATATGAGACAGATTGAACTCACCTTATGGTTAGTTATCCTCCAAATCTTTTGCACTAAAAGACCTTCCTAAGTGATGGACTATGACTGAACTTTTTTTCAACATGAAGAGTAATGATCAACTCCAAGCACAGCTGTTCAGCATTATGCTGCAGTAAAATATTCTACTTCTCTCTCCATTGCATCCCATCTGAGTTAAATAAATGACAGATTTGGAGATTAGAAAGCACCATACATATATATTAATGTGCTATTGAGCTTCTTCAGTGAATAGCATTTAACCATCTGGAAAACCCTTTAAATTTTTGTTCCGGCAAAATCCCGTGCAGAACAAAAATCAAGAGAGAAATGACTGAATATCCATGGTCTAAGAGGCAAAGACAGCATGCTAGTGAACAGTGAAGTATTTAAGTTTCTCGGGCACTGGCTAAATCCCAAAACCTACTGATCACATTCTATATGTTAAAGAATGGATTTATTCAAGAAAAATGAAACAATGAGGAATGCCTCAAAATACTAGCTAAGCATTAAGTAAACTAAGATGGTCAATTAGTATTTTTTAGTCTCTAAAGCAATTTTAACTAGCCTCTGGCAATCCAATCAAAAGTTTGCTGAATTTTCACTTACAAGAATAAGAGAATTGTTTTCAAAATGACAGGCTGTGACTTGGTTTTGCACACCACACTGCACCACAAACTAGCTAATCATGTTTTAACCTACTATAGCAAGCAAATCTAGTTCATGCAGTCAATTTATGGTTGAGCATGTACACCCATAAAATTGGCTTTTAATTACACAAAATAGGGTTAAGATAATCACTGGCAAATGTGTCCTGCAAGTATAGCCTACAGCTACCAATGGGATTTCAGCAGTATACTAGAACAGATTTTCACCATTTGAGTATCCACATTGAAAGGCCTAGCCCAAGGATTGTCATGTCAGTGACACGCGATGTATCGGGACTTTTTTCCTCTTTGTTAAACTGGGCATGGGCATGGCCAGCATGTGACACATCCTGCCCTAGCCAAACAAACCTTCCTCCAGAAAGCTGTATTCCATAAGATATTCAAGGCAAAAGCCCAAGTCTGCTTCCCCACCTCCAAATTTTGTATTCTATACCTTCAAAAGCCAACAAGGAATGCTCATCCATCAGATTATTTTCTAAAAAGGATGTGTGCTCTCTGCCTTTTAATATCAGGTATTTTTGCATATTTGGAAATTTTAAACCAACATTGGGCCTGTTTGGATCCAAACCTGTTTGACAAGCAACTACTTACATTTGTATGATAATACCCCTCTACTTAAATTGATTCCATTACGTCTGTATAGAAAAGGAATGTCTAGGGCAGCATTTTGTTGGAGAGGTAATAAGAACACTGCTTCTTAAAAAACCATGTCCTATACTTACCAAGAAAGTAGTGGACTACGTAAATGTGACTGTGCAACAAAAGCTAAAATTGTCAGAGGATAATATTCTCTTGAATTACATACTTAGTAGTTTGACAAACAATGGATTCTCTGTGAAATTATTATAACTAAAAGACTGATATTGCAACATTAAAAAGATAAATATATGGCCCCATTTACTCAATAGACGGAAGATCTAATTACTGCTTATGATTGAATTGGCTATAGATGTAGACATTGTATGGATATGAATAATGAAATATAGGTTTAAAAAGTATGATAGTTACCTATTTGCATTTTAGATATTACATATTTGCATTGGATAAATGTCCAAACATTCTATATATAGAATAATAACTGTTTACTGTTGTAACCAGATATCATATTCTATATTGTATTTTTGCACTTATGTATTTTTGGTAATATATATGCAATTGTGTTTTGTTCCTTTTGTTCTTTTTTTTCTGTTATTATTTTAAAAGTGATAAAAACGTTTGGACATTTTTCCTATCAATCCAAAGAATCCAACCCTGTAGTTTATAAACTACAGGCAGAGGTGGGCTACAAACAGTCCATGAGCTTTGTTTAACCTATCTCTCTTTTTTTTCCCCCAATCCCTGGAATTGGGAAAGCAAGCAGTGCGATACCTCTCCATGAGCTACAAATAGAATGTGCAGTGACACACATCTTTTGTCTGAAGCTACTTTAAAGGCCTAAAAACTGTACTGTTGATTTGGAAAACTATTTCCCTCCCACCATTAACATACTTTGGCCTCAGGACCTGACCTTTGATCACTGATCCAATCTGTCATCTTTTTCTGGTTAACAGCAGTGGGAAGAGAAGAATAGGGCATTTTGTAATGTATACTCCTGAGCCGTGTGGTCAGCATTTCTTGTTTCTTGCTATGTAACCAGCCTCAATTGAGTGCCAGGTCCTGGAAATCAGGGTCAGACCTTTCAAGCTTTCCCATCCTTACTGTTTACTCTGATGAATATCTCCCCGCCAATCTTCTGAGAAATAACCAGATTGTTTCCCATCTATTTATTTGTCTAAATTGATTGACAAGACTAAGTTCTGAAAAAAGTTCTGAGGCAACCACAGGCTCTCCAGAAGGGATCTTGGTTTCATTAGGATTTCAGTCCATGTCCTTGAACAGGGGGCAATTTGTCATCATTCCAACAAGCTATTGAGTAGTTCTGAACAAATGTGAACTTTTTCCCTGAACTAATTCAGGCAGCTAATTTGCATTACTGGTGTAATGAGCTAGGTAATTGTATATTAATCATTCATTACATCAAGATGGTGGATGCTGTCAATTAATTACATGCACTGTATACCTTTTTGTTTGCTAAATAATGTTCAATTAAAATATATCTTCTACTTGCTACACAGTGTCTGATGGAGAACTGCAATGGATTTTGCTCTGGTTAGCTACCTTTGTTAGGTTGGGGATAAAATTCAAATTCTGAAATAATCTGAACATATATTCAAATCAATAAAGAATATTATATATATAAGGGTGGTTCAAATCCTCATAGTTCCTGCTGCCCTCACCAATCTTCCAACATGTACCAGTATCTTCCCCAATAACTTCCAGTGCATGAGACACTGATTGTTTTAGAAATAACCAGAATTACCTAGAAGTCTTCTGCTCATTTTCCCCAAACCTCACTTAGTCTCTATAGCTAATTCCAATAATTTATCAAACCTGCTGGGGAGATGGTAGAGCTTTTCCCAGCTCAGGCACAGTAAATTTGTTTTGTTTCCTAGGAATTCTGCCTGATTAAAAAAAAAAAAAAAAAAAGCAGAAGAAAGGCTGAGGCCATGGCTGTCTGACTGACTTTATATGTGACCTATCTTCCCTATCAGACTTGGCTTTTATATAACAGAATCATGCGTCCCCCAATGTTTAATCTGTTCAACATTAAGGAATATCACCTTAATTCCCCTAGGGAATCCTGAAGTTATTCTCATAAACTATTTGAAGAAACTTTATGGAAACTGTAAATTTTCTATTTATAATATTGTGTTAATTTTACTAACACAAGCACAATCAAACATTTTACAACACTAATAATAATAGACATATCATTTCCACTATAGGAAAATACAGGAATAACTACCATTTAGTTTTTAATGTATTAGACAGCAAAATAACTGATGCATATAATTCTGACCGAATGGCTGGTAGCATAAATTTATGCCGGTTCCAATTACTCTATAAAAGCACATTGCATTGTGTATAATTAGTGAACTTGTTGATTTACTACTGTGATTGAACCAAATAATAAAAAGCAGATACCATGTTGCTATTTCTTGTTTAAGTATCTTGTTTCAAAATCAATATATCAAGTCGCAATTGTACTATATAGTGGGTTTCTGTTCATTCCATCTGTATTTTTTCTTCTAATTCTCGTATTTTAAGAATTTTGCCCAGTACATTCCTTGTTTGATTTTTATAGGCCTTTGATCTTCTCAGAAATATCATTATTCCTTTGGATTGTCATAAAGGCTAAAGAAAATGATTATCGCTGACAAGATGTTCAGCTGGGGACAAATGTTCTTCATTAAGCAGAAGAGCTTTTTTCTGCTTATAAAAACAATCCTCACAATCTTTCATGGAAATACCTTTTTTATACAGAGATATCTATACTTACCGCCTGCAGGGGGCTTCGGTGATTAAACTGCATTCTCATCAGTCTTCTGTGTTTCATAAATCTTCATAATTTCAGTAAAATTACGATGCTTCAAATATTTCTTTGTTCCTGTGAGAATTCATATAGCACCTTCACCTGGATTTTCATGTTACAGCAGCAGTAAAGAAATGCAAAGGAAGAAAGGAGTTACAGAGTTGAATAACAGCCCTTTATTTATTTATTTATTTATTTATTTATTTATTTATTTATTTATTTATTTATTTATTTATTGCATTCAAATCATGTGTTTCAGCTCATATGAAATTTCAACAATGGTGTTCAACCAATCATAATCTAGCAGTGAGGCTCAATGAAACCATCTTTAATACATCAACTTTACAGACTAGTTAAAATATGAGGTCAAATGGCTGATAGAATAAGGACACATTTATCTAATGTCCAAAGTTGAGAAGATAAGTGCCATACTTAATCAAGATTCAAAGCTTAAGCCATTTCACCTGAGTGGGTTAGAGTAGTACTGGAGCACTTTATTATTCCCAATTTTCATTCCAAACTGCAAGAGGCAAATACATTCTAACTCATGATGGACAATTCTCTGTTGTTTTTGTTTCTGCAGCTGCAAAAAGCCAATCTGCTTTCCCATGAAAGTACTCCATTACTGGGATATTTCAAAAGTCGTGATACCCCATATGCTTCTCCATTTGAATGGTAGTCCTTTTGTTCATTCTGTCCCTAAGCCTGCATCTTTCTCCATAACTTTCTAGAAATAGCATCTTCCTCAGTTAATGCCACTAAACTGGACTCTAAATGCTCCTCTGCTTTTTTTCAACAATCAACTATTGAACAGTAAATAGGGGATGTTACAGAGAAAGCAAAACTAATGGAAACCGGAACAACTGTGCCTTTGAAAAACAAATTCATTCTACTGTATAACAGTATTGTTGCTCCACGGATTGGAAGGATATGTTTCTTAATTCTTAATCCATATTTATACCTCTTGCCCAAAATGGGTTGTAAATGTAATGGCTCGGATTAATTGTAGCTGCAAAAAATTAAGTATTTTTTAGAAGTATCACCTACTTTGTATAAACATTAGCAGTTATAATTATACATCTGGTTTTCTCATGGCTTTGAAGCAAACAATAAGCACAAGGTCAAGAGGTGAAAAGGGAGAAAATTCTATTATTAAGATACTAGCTAAATTACAGGAATGAGGATTGTTTGCTATATGGCTATAATTAAGAGCAAAAAGGAATTATGTAGAATGTGGTAGGAAAAAAATTAGTGTGTACCTTAAAACATGTCATTGGTTAGATAAGTTATACTAAGCTTTATCAGTTTCAAAGGGAAGGAGACTTTTATTTATTTGAGCTGTGATTTTTGTGCTCATATTTAGCTTGTGCCTGAACAACCTATCAGAGTCCCCAAATCAGCCATCAAGAATAGAAAAAAAAATATGGAATGCCAAGTCTTGAATGACACTTTCTAAGCAAATATGCTGTTTGGTTTTTTGGGCTGAAGGTGGTCAAACTAATGGTATTTAAATTGGACAATTGGTATTCTTAAAAGTTTGCTATGCAATCATCTTCATCCTCCCGCAGACTCGCTTGTGTCTGACTTTTTTCTCTATGCTTGCCCCTATTTTCACAGGAATATATTTGACTTACAAAAATCTTAGCGAATGATTGAGTTGTCCATATATGTTGCCAACATTTAGAGCTCACTGAATTTCTGCAGCTCAGATACAGTAGTTATACTTTCCTGGAGTTCTTTAGGGCAAGACTTTAGAGGTAATATAAACTCATGCAGGTATGAGACTGTTTTAACTAGTGATGTAGAAGGGTCTCAGCAGGAAAGAATAGACACATTTCTCTAGCACAAAAAGAGGAGCCAGTAGTCTAATTTTAAAAGCTGGATACTGGCAAGAACTCAATTAACAGCCTTTAAAGAAAAAAAGAACTAGGAGAAGAAGCTGAAGCAATAAAATTTTAAGCAAAGCGAGGCCATTATATTAGGCACCGGACACTACATGGTTTGCTGCTTTTGTTGAAGGACTGAAACAAATGCTATATAAATGCAATGCATAGAACATCTCAGTGCACATATTCTGGAGAAGAGATGTTTCTTGATGACGGATTCCAGCATGAGGCTGAAAGCTTGGAAGAATAAACTTTTGGTCCTGGTGACCGATTCAGATTGGATCCTGAAACAAATTTTATTTGCCACTCCAGACAGTTTCTATAAATAGAATGACAACTTTCCTCTTATTCTTAATCTTAGAGGACAAAACACAAAAGGAATCGATTCACCTCTGGCTCCACTTACAGAAGCTCTGGCCAACACAGTGATAATCATGAATACAGCTCTTAAGCGTCTAAAACTCTCTCCATCCCTATTTTGACAAATCAGAGGAAGATTGCTATAATGGTTTGCTTAAACTAAAACAATGATCTGCAATCTTACCTGTCTTGCCAAGCAAGACTTGCAAAGCAGAAGACTGAAGGAATAGACATCAACCCAAATCTAATCCTTGTGACTGAACCTCTCAGTTGTAGCCAAAATAGTTCTCCAAAAGCAAATATCAAGCTCTCCAGAGAAGAATGGTTCAGTCCGAAAAATGAAAGAGCAAAGGCTCCTCAAATGTTAAATGAGAATGGAAATGTCAAAGGGTCATCATATGAAGTCAACTGACATTACTGCTAAAAATATGGGAAAGGTATGATGGAATTATACCTTGTCAAAAAGCATTAACCCAATTTTTTTTTTACACAGCCATTCCCTTGTCAATGGTTACTTGTATAAGTCAGTAAGCCAAGAGTCAAATATCACAGTGATAATGCTAATTTCTCTTGTTCATGCTGTAAGCATCCATTGTATGTACTGAAATGAAAGCAAAAAGATACATCAAGTGACTTAAATTCAAAATAGCATAGTACAAAGCAAGTTTATCGGATAATTTTGGTGTAATGTGATAACAAATTGCCTTCTCCTTTATTTGTAAAAGAAATAATAATAATTAACTAAAGGGGAAGGTGCATTGCAATTTTTCTTTCCTTCCTAAAATGTCCTTAGATTTCCTTCCTAAAATGTCCTTAGATTTCCTTCCTAGGATGTCCTTAGATTTCCATCCTAAAATGTCCTTAGCTTTTGATCAGCTTCTGGCGGTCACTCTAATATTAAAATCAGTTATCATAATTTTTTTTTAAAATTGAACACGAGTAACTTCAAAAGTAGTTAGAAATTTAAATATACTTTGAAGGGTTGTTTTGTGATAAATAAAAAGAAAGCTATGATTTGCAGAAAGGATTATCACAATCTGTTAAGATTTATTGCACAAAAAGACCAATGGTGCAGGCAAAAAAGTTCAAATTCAAAAAATTATCTGCATCATTTTAACCTTTTAAAAAACTTGCTGAGAAATCTCGAATGCTGAAGAATAACAAATGAGATGGATAGACCTTTTAGCAATCAATAATGTTCCCATTGGCAACTTCTAAAGCAACATTAATGAACTGGTATAAAAAAAAGAGCTTTCTTTTGAGGGGGCTGAGGGGAGGAATAAGAGAAGAAAGTTCATATAATAATCCTAAAATGATGCAATATAGTTTTATTATGAAATATGAAAACATATTTCATTATTTATCAATAAACAAAAGCATCTAAACTCTATAAATATTCTGTTTATAGTCACTATTTTCATAAACTGTACAGTAGGGGGCACTTGCAGACAGTTTAAAATATTTGTTGTGAGACAACCATCATTACAAACTGAAAGATTTACTGACACCTTTGGCTGTCTAGGAAATAATGACTGGTATATCATCAAGGCTTCAAAGTAGATGATCAGAATATTAGTGCTTTTTGCATTTCAGTAAAAATTATCCATAATTAGTAATAAATAAATTAGTGCACATAATACTGAGCAAAAAGGTCTCAAGGAAGCAAATATCTTTGGTGGTCGAAAAAGCATGTTTAAATCCAGTTGAAAGTTACTTTACTTATTCAGAGAAGCTTTTTAAAAAATATATGCTTAAGTGTATATAAGTAATATATAGTACACAGTACAGATACACTTGAATGTGACTTTTGAATTTGACTTTTTGTCAAGCTCACTGCTCCTAGATGTCAAATAACTGTATAAAACTATACATCTTGACATTTAAGCAGCTCCTGTGTCCTACAGTGCAAAGAATTTGTCTTAGGAAATGGTATTTCATTAGAACTAGATAAGAAACTAGAAAAAAACTAATTTAGTTCCCATGTGTATCAGCATATCTTATAGATCGAGATGTTTTCTATCAAGCTGGGTAGTCTGAGTAGTAAAAAAGATAATTAGGCTGGAGCTTAAGCTGTGTGAAATGATCACTGTATGAAACTAGGTCAGGAATCACAGATAAATATTGTAAGGGAAGCATATGTTCCGTTCTAAATAATCTTTTAAAAATGAAAATGACTAGCATGAAAACCTATTCAATTTTTCACTGAAAGATGCAGGTCCAAGGCCTACGGACCCAACTTCTACTAATCTGTTAGCACAAAATTTAATATTATACATTAAGATTGGTAGAAACCAGATCTGCAGCCCTGGAGTTAACTGTTACACCACCCAGTGAAAAATTGAATAGTTGGACAACCAAATCTATAACCACATCAAACTAAATAGCCAGAATGTTTGAATTGTATGACTTGACTTTTCTAGTTTAAATTAAGTACACTAAGAGTATAGTGAACTACTAAAACAGTGGTCGTATTAGCTTTGTACATTTTAGTACAAATAAAGTTGATTTAAATATTATTACTTGGACCTAAACTGAACTGTGATCAAGAAATATAAGAAAAATTAACTGCTAAATTATGTAATTTTGGTTTTTCTTGGGTCAGGCTTCACATATACAGCTTATTGTTGAAGTACAGGTAGTTCTCCATTGACAACCATAATTTAGCCCAGAATTATGGTTGTACATTGAGGGGGGGGGTCATTAAGGTCAAATTTATGACCTTTTTTACAGCATTAAGCAAATCGCTATAATCCATTATATCCATTGGCAGAAACCGCCAGAAACCAGCAAAAATAATGGGCTATAAATGCAAGCTGGTTGCTAAGTGCTCCAAATATGATCATATAATTGTGAGGTGGGTGCAGACATTGGAACTTCAAAATTGGGTTGTAATTACCTGGAGTGGGGTGGACATCGTAACTTTGAAGTCGCTAAGCAACCAGTCATTAAGCATTAAGCATTAACCTATATACGCAGATGCGCTGGATCCAACTGTAAAATTTATTTTGCTCTTTTGTGCCTTCAAATCAGTCTTAACTCCTGGCAACTACCTGGACAGGTCCTTTGGTCCCCTTTTCTAGGTCCAATTTCTGTTATTCTTGGGGGCATCCAATAATCTAAGGTACATTGAGGTAGGGTTATAATCGCCTAAGCACAAATCTGGATGATTTTCAGTGATTTTTATTTCTATTAGTTCTCTCAATTTTCAAAATTATTTTATACAAGGGAAGAGAACCAGACTCACTCCCGAGTTTGTGGGAGCCGCAGGCTTCCGATAGAAATATCCATGATCAACTTTAGCCTGCCTGGGCAGCATGCTGCCAACAAGAGTGAGTTTTTATGCTCCACTATTGTAAGGGTTAAATAATAAGGGTTAAATGAGGCAAGGAGACGCTGAAGGTACACTTAAATCTGCAACTGGCCGAATAATGCTGGTTGTGCGAATGCAACCATTCAATGCTGCTAAGCTTTCGTGAGACCCAAAAAAAGCACCACCAAGCAGCAGCATCCTGGCTTGTGTCTTTGGAAGAAACGCCCAAGATCTTTACGGCCAGCACCGATGAAGCTTCACACTTTCCCCCTACGCTCCTTTCGTCGGAGTCCCAGAAACTTGATGAAAACCACAGAGGTCACCTCCTCCCGCACTCCTAGAGAAGCCGGAAGCAGATTCTTTCTGGAACCGGATGTAGGTGGGCTCTAAGGAACGAGGGTAGCGATGAAGCCGGCGGTGGACGAGATGTTTCCCGAGGGCGCGGGGCCTTATGTCGACCTTGACGAGGTGAGGCGGCGGCGGCGGCAGCAGCAACGGCAGCAGCAAGACAGCCTTCCCGGGCAGAGCTTTTTTGTCTCCGGTCCTCGGAAATAGGGTTCCGCGACGTCCTTGGATAAAAGTGGGCGGCGCTGCGGTCCCTTCTGTGCGTTGTCAGTTAATGAAGGCAGAGTTTTGTTTTGCCAGGAAGGACAGTCCCTCTCTTCCACTACTGGTCTCTGGTTGAACGAGGGAGGGCGGGCAGATTGGATGCTTCACAAGGGTGGGTTTTAAAGGGCTGGTTGAGAAAGAGAGATATTTCCAATATTTGAGGGGCTCCCACTTTCTAATAGCATTAAGATGGTTAGAGAAGCACAATTTCCAGGAGAGGAGAGGAGAGGACAATTCTATTCCTATTCTATTCCTATTCCTATTCTTTCTTTCTTTCTTTTTCTTTTTCTTTTATTAGATTTATATACCGCCCTACTCCCGAAGGACTCAGGGCAGTGAACAGGCACAAAATAAAATACATAGATACAAAAGTTAAAAGATATAATTAAAACCAGATTAAATAATTTAGCCCGAGATAATTAAAAATCCCAATAGTTTAAAACAAATTAAAATTTCGATTTAAAAGAATTTTAAAACGGGAGAAAATTAGGCCAGGCCGGTTTAATATTTCTATTCCTATTCCTATTCTTTATTGGCCAAGTGTGATTGGACACACAAGGAATTTGTCTTTGGTGCATACGCTCTCGGTGTACATAAAAGAAAAGATATATTCGTCAAGAATCATAAGGTACAACACTTAATGATAGTCATAGGGTACAAATAAGCAATCAAATCATATTAGGAAACAGTCAATATAAATCCTAAGGATACCAGCAACAAGGTTACAGTCATACAGTCATAAGTGGGAGGAGATGGCTGATAGGAACAATGAGAAGATTAATAGTATTGCAGACTTAGTAACTAGTTACTAGTTAGTAACTAGTTTGACAGTGTTGAGGGAATTATTTCTGTAGCAGAGTGATGGCGGTCGGGGAAAAACTCTCCTTGTGTCTACTTGTTCTGGTATGCAGTACTCTATAGTGTCATTTTGAGGGTAGGAGTTGAAACAATTTATGACCAGGATGCGAGGGGGCTGTAAATATTTTCACAGCCCTTTTTTTGACTCTTGCAGTATACAGGTCCTCAATGGAAGGCAGGTTGGTAGTAGAAGTGAGGTTAGCAAAAAAAAAATACAGAGAAGAGCAACCAGGATGATTAGGAGACTGGAGACTAAAACATGATGAACGGTTGTAGGAACTGAGTCTACCTTTATTCCTACAATTTCTTCTATCTCCTTAAACACCATCTTCCACAATTTTTGCACAAATTTACAATCCCACCACATATGTAAATACATTCCTTTTTCCCCACAACCTCTCCAATAGTTATCTGACTAGTGCTGATTCATATTGCTTAATCTAACCGGAGTTAAGTACCACCTCCATACCATTTTGTAGTAATTCTCTTTTATTCTTACTGACATATTTCTCAACACTCTTTGTTGCCAAATTCTGTCCCTATTTGTATCTTCAAATCGGTTTCCCATACCATCTTTTCTAAATTTCCCCTCTCCTCTTCCTCCAACAATATTTTATAGATTCCGCTCATTAAGCCTTTTATCCCTTTATTTTCTTCCTTTACAGTTTGATTTTTTTCAATTAATTCCTCAAACCTCGTTAACTCTCTCTCTTATCCAATTTTTAGTCCATTGTTCCACTTGGCTATAATTTAACCAAGACAACCGTTTTCCTCCTAGAACCTCTTCCAATTCCCCACGTGTCTTCATTCCTCCTAACCATTCCCTTAATTTCAGAGAAAAGAGAAAAGTTTATGTTTATCTGTCATTCCACCAGCACCACCATGTTTCTGCTTTTTAGATGAGATTTTTAGGTGAGATTTTTGAGAGGAGAAAGAAATGCTGCACAGACATTATAATTATAATTTCCATTATAATCTTAGTCATTTTATCTTAATTCAATAATAGTAATAAGCAATTAAAGTTATCGATGATTCTGTGTAAATTATGCTAGATTTAGGTGAGCAAGTAGAAAGTAGAAACTAGAGAACTGTAAAAAAAATTTAAAGCTAAATAATTATTATATGAATAAATTGGTACAGATGACAAACCAATTCTTTTTCAGGCTGGAGGAAGTACAGGTTTATTGATGGATCTAGCAGCTAATGAAAAAGCAGTACATGCAGACTTCTTTAATAGTAAGTGTTCAAATTTATTTTAAACCAGACATGTTTATTTTAGTCATTGCTGTTTTTTAAAATGTTATTTCTTAGTGGCTTTACTAGAAACATAGCTAAAAACATCAGAACAACATCTGAGGGAATGTTAAGCTTCCAAGTTTATCAAGCAAATGATGCCCAATCAGTAGGACCATTATGTTTTATTAATCAGGGGTTATTGGATACATAACATTTTAAAGATTTATCATCAAATGCATTGTCTATTAAGCAGAAAACCTTGGGACATCCTTCTGTTTTGTAACAGCAGTATATACAGAATACATGTGTATCCTTCAGATTGTACAATAGCTCAATAGCAATCAAGACCAAAGAAGTTCTGGCATTGTGCCACTTTTGAGGGACAGGAATAATCAGTGCCCAAATAGTAGCATGCTATTCAGTAGAAACGGAAGTGATTCACAATAACATAGAAAAACAGCAAACTTTTAGCATCAACATATAACTGAAATAAGGAAACCATTACATGCTGAATGAGTTAAGTGAACTGATAGCTTATGCCAGACTACCATAGTATTCCCTACTCAATAATCTGATTCTGTAAAATGGACAACCGATGGCCTTTGATCTGTGCGTCACAAAAGGTTGTCCAACCCTGCTATAAAATAAGTACTTTGGGGGACGGGGGCTTTTAAAAATCAATCCTTTAGCATGTTAAAATAACTCATGGAGTTGCATTATGTGATCAGTGCTCAAGAATCCCAACTTTACATAATGACCTTCCCATTTTCAGTTGAATTTCTTATGAATTTATTGAATGGATTTCAAGACTTTTTATTCCAAAATGAGGAATAAATTTTGTATTGTTACTAAACTGTATTTAGTAAATCTGGGTGGCAAAAATCTAGACAATAAATACCTCCTTTTTTGGCATTTGGTGGTAAGTCTGCTTTTTGTAGTTAAGATCCCATAAACTAAATTGACCTATTCAGTTATGTATGTTTTTGTTAAAACAGAACAATGGAGTTATATTTACCTCTCTGTGGTATTCATTTATTATCCTTTTAGATTTTGAAGATATGTTTGACGATGACGATATCCAGTGAAATGTGTCTTCCAGCTATGTGGTGCTGAATATTTACATTTCTTATAAAGACTATGTTCTAAACAAAAAGGAAATGTGAACGTAGTCACTAAGACATGAAGGCAATGTGAAATGGCTAAAGATGGATAAGAGAAGAATTATGAAGCTCATTTCCATTAGGATTTGTTTAGATGTAGAATTGTATAGACTTGCTATAATAAAATCTAAATAAATATTTAATTTTGAAAAAAATGGCTTGCTTTTTCAATTGGATCATTCTAAAATTAGGATTAGAGAAGGTAAGTTGTAAGCATATTATCTCCCCACATAGAAGAAACTCTCATATGTTCATAGCCCAAAAATCCATAATTCACTGCATATGATTAAGATGGAATGTGCTTTCATTCATTTGATGTCATTTCATGTATGGGTATATGAGGAGGAAGTGCTGATTTCTTTTTAAATTTATATGCTGCCCGTCTCACTGTCAGGCAACTCTGCATAGCTTGCAAAAACATAAAAGCAAAAAAAAACATTAAATATTAATGCCACAAATAATTATGATGCCCTCCTCATATCATTTTACTCAAACATGTCACAGAATAAGTCTGAGAGCAATGTTCATACAATACCCTTACCCATAAACTCAAAGGGATTTTAGAAATCTAAGCACCGCTCTGGTCCTGATAATATCGTTATGTGTACATTCTTTTTCACAATGATATAGAATTGGTTTGTCATTTCTTCCTGGGTGATTCTTTCAATTTTCCAATCTTTTCTAGACCGTCCTGGTAGTCTCCCATCTGAATACTAACCCAGTCCATTCCTGTTTAGCTTTTTCAATCAACCAAGACAAGCTAGGAAATGCCACCTAGTTGACCACAATCTGGAATATTGGCTGTGCCTTATTCTACAGTACAGTGGCATAATTCAGCTCTTCTAATATTATTTTACTTTCTTTTAAAATTGAGTAAAATATGGAACCAATTCATAATGGTGGGGAAAATGAAGAGTAAGCAATAGAACTGGATAGTTGCAGATAGCTCTAATAACTTATAGTGGACCTTTTAGTAAAAAACGGTTGGTTTTTGTTAGTGAAACCAACTTATTTTTTATTTTAAAAGATCCTTTGTTTTTATTGATGTGTATCTTTTAAACTTCTAATTTTAAACATATAAAGTGTTGTATAAACTTACAATTATTTATTCATCCACTCCTGTTAAGCTACAGTCTATATTTTTTATCCTTTTATTTTTATCAGTTTTCCTAAGTATATTTGAGTGTTTTTTACAATAAGCAGGATTTGGGAGGCTGTACTCTCCAATTCTTCCATTAAAATCTCCATCATCTCTGACAATAAGTCCTGTGGGCTGAATCCAATAACTGAAAGACCACTTTCTCAACTTTATTGCTAGAAAAGTAAAGTAAATAAGCATTTATTTAAAATAACAAATTAATCTGAGATGGAAGATAGAATCTCAGAGGGTATATGTTATAGTAACATATTATGGAGAAGATGTACTTTCAGGAGATGCTCCTTTCTTTGTAAGATTCTTAAGAAAGCAAGAACTCTGAGTTATTCTGTGCCAGATTTCCATAGTTTATCATATTTGACATGTATCATCCCAACATTTGCAAACATTGTGGCCATGCTGATTATGAATGGAAGTTTTGTCATGAGTGCAGAGAACAAGATAAGCACTCTTGCATTAGACAACCTTAAATTTGATTTTAAAAGGGATGTTATTTAGCTGAAATCCTGCTTTATTGAATATTAGGCAAATCATAAAAAATATTATATAAGTTTTGAGGTCCTGTAGGAATTGATTCTCATGCTTCTGTATCATTTTAAAGTTTTGATCATTCCACCAAGTACAGATAGTCCTTGACGTATGACCACAAATGAGCCCAACATTTCTGTTGCTAAGTGAAACCTTTATCATGTGAGATTTGCCCCATTTTGCAACCTTTCTTCCCACAGTTGTTAAATTAATTACTGTTACTAACATGGCTGTTAAGAGATTCTGGCTTCCCCATTGACTTTGCTAATCAGAGGGTTGCAAAAGTTATCATATGGCCCTGGGACACTGCAATTGTCATAAATACGAGTCAGTTGCCAAGCATCTGGAGTTGGATCACATGACTATTGGGATGGGCAACAGTCATAAGTGAAAAAATGGTCATCAATCACTTTTTTCAGTGCTGTTGTAACTGAACAGTCACTAAGTGAGCTGTTGTAAGTCGAGGACTACCTATATGTGTTTTCCAAACTCTCAGGGTTGTAGTAGTAGTGCAATCTTTAACTGGGGAAAATGGTGCATCATATGGCAACTATTTTTGAATCAAGATACATCAAGTGGACTAATTTACAGAATGCATCCAAAATCCGAAACTCCCACGGAATTGAAATATGGAAAATTTTATGAAACATTTTATGAAAGATTACCATAATACATTTTATGACATAATGCAAAATGTCACACAGTAAAACGTTTCCTATGGTTAACTCCTGATGTTTGACTATGGCCTATTTTCAAGGCAGATACATCTCTAAATATCTCCTTGAATTTTTATGAACTGTTCCAATGAAGGAAGTGCATTAGAAATTCTGCCATTGTTGAAGGCATTGAGGAATCTGGTAAGGAAATTTCTCTGACATGTTGACCCAATAGGTCACAAGTTTTCTTGTTAGTTTTCAACTTTTAAACACCTAAAAGCCTTAGCACATATTTGAAAGACTAGCTCTCCCACTATGAATCTTCCCATAACTTATATCAGCAGAAGGGGCCCTTTCAACTAGCTCAAAGTTTCTCAACCTTGGCAGTTTTTAAATGTGTAGACTTCAAAGTCCTCCTAGAATTCCCCAGCCAGAAGCTTAGCTATATAGCAAATGGAAGAAGGTCTTCTCCTATGTTTAGTTTATTAGTTTAGTTTATTTGATTTGTATACCACCCTACTCCCGAAGGACTCAGGGCGGTGAACAGCCAAACAATAAAATACATAGATACAAAAAATTTAAAAACCAGATAAAATCAAATTAAATCATTTTGGCCCAGACAGATTAAAACACCCCGATAATTTAAAAACAGATTAAAATTTACATATTTAAAAAAGGGAAGAGATTAGGCCAAGCCCGCCTGATGGAATAAAAAGGTCTTCACAGCGCGGTGGAAGGTGCGCAGATCCGGGATCCTCCGTATCTCCAGGGGGAGCTCATTCCAGATGGTAGGTGCCCCCACAGAGAAGGCTCTCCCCCTAGGGGCCACCAGTTGACACTGTTTGGCTGACGGCACCCGGAGGAGTCCCTCTCTATGAGAGCGTACTGGCCGGTGGGAGGCTATTGGTGGTAGTAGGCGGTCCCGTAGATAACCAGGTCCTAAGCCATGGAGCGCTTTAAAGGTGGTAACCAAAACCTTGAAGCTCACCCGGAAGACCACCAGGAGCCAGTGCAGCTCGCGCAGGAGAGGTGTTACATGGGAGCGCCATGTCGCTCCCATTATCACCCGCGCGACCGCACTCTGCGCCAGTTGGAGCCTCCGGGTGCTCCTCAAGGGGAGCCCCATGTAGAGAGCATTGCAATAGTCCAGGCGGGAGGTGACAAGGGCATGAATATGTGGCTGTCAGGTTCTGGAATGCACTCCTAGTATTTAGAAAATGGAAATGTTTGCTTCCACATGCAATTCAAACAGCTAATTTTAACCTTTGAAATTCGACATGGTTTTACCACTGAAGCTGTACTTGCAGGACAGCTTCCTCCAACTGATCATGACCCATCTGACCTATTTCTCCTACCAGTGATGCCTCATTTCATGAAATGAGGGTGGTGAAGACGCAAATGAAATTTTTCCATAGGGGCCTCTGCACTTTGGAAGTGCTCCCGCATCCCTCAAGATTTTAATCTGCCCCTATGCTGTTGGTTTTCCATAAGCAATTAAAAATGTATTTTTTTCAACACAGGAGTTTACATTTTCTGTGACAGCATTGGGTATTTTGGTTTCTTTTATTATTTTGTTCTCTTTATTTTTTGTACAGTGGATGTTTCATGATTTGTATTGACAGATGTTATAAGCAGCCAAGAATTTGCTAATGTACTAATGTATAGATAATATATTAGTAATAACTATTTCATATTGAGTAAGTCAGCCCAGAGATGAACTTCAGGTAATTTTTTCTGCTTTGCAACTGCCTTAACCACAGGACTGTCCAGAATTGGTCTTCAGTAGATTTAGAGGAGGAATGTTTATATTGTAAGCACGTGTAGCAGATTTTCCAAACTCACAACTATGAATGTGCTAATGTTCCTGCTATAACATTTTTGAATTATGCATGCTCAAATATATGCTGATCAGCTAATGCATAATGTATATATACAATCATTATATAAATGGAAGCTTCTATAGTGTCAACTGTGAGCGGTTTCATGGAAACTCAGCATCAGTCTACACCCCCTTAGTGCCAAGTAAAACAATTCGCTGCAGCCGACTGTCTCCGTTGTTTTTCTGGGAAGTGGACAAAATGTCCAAGAATGCCTTTGGGTCTCTAATCTGTTTCATAAGTCTGGTATTTTCTTTGGATGTATGTTAGATTGGTCTATAAAAAGGACAAACAGTACGCGGAAAGAAACTTAGGTTCAGATAATATTCTATTAAACCGAAAAGGTAACCTCCCTGCAGCTCTGTCATGAATGGGCAAACCCATCAAGCAGCAATTTTGAGAGAACATCTCTATGATATTCTCAGCATTTCACATGTATCCAGCTGGCCAAAAGGTTGAAGATCTTGATTTAGGATACAGGAACCCACCAAATTGCATTTTATCAACAAACCATATTTTTAATACATAGTTATGGTGAGCACATTTACCATGTTTTTCTGGTACTAGTTTTTAAGATTCCAAGCTTTAAAAAAAAGTCTTGTGGTAATATGGTTTCAGCCAGAGTGTTGAAGACATCTGTTATAAGTCTCAGGGGCCCCCCGTAACAGAGGCAATGGTAAGAAATACAGTATTAGGAATTCTAGTGCAGCAACATCTGGAGGACCGCAGGTTCTCTTTGCCTTCTTTAAGCCTCTACTGCTCAACCTGCTGCTTTATAAAAACACATTTCCCTTTAATGTTTTCACTGCATCATGTTTTTCCATAGCCTCATGAGAACTTTGCTTGATAAAGGGACCCATAAATATAAATAATGAAAGAGTATCTAAATAAGCAGCCAAGCTTGAGCTAGGAAAAAATTCTAGGAACTCTAGGCAATT